GGGAGGGGGGGCAGACGCGGGAGAGGGGGAGGCAGGCGAGCACAGGAAGGGCAGAAGAGGAAGGGGAAGGAGGCAAGGAGGGGGGGGAGAGGGGAAGGGACAAAGGAGAGCAGAGCCGGGGGGGGAGAGGGGGAAGGGGGAAAGGCAGGGAGGGCGCAGAAGGGGAGCGGGAGGCAGGAAAACAGGGGGCCAGGGGACAGGGGAAAAAAGGGGAAAGGAGAGAGGCAGGACAGGAGGAGGCAAAAGGGGGGGCGCGGGGGGGGGACGCAGCGGGGGGGAAGAGGAAGGGAGACGGGAAAAGCGCAGAGGGGAAAGGGCGGGAAGGGAGGCAAGGGGGGGAAGAGAGGAGGGAAGGGGAAGGGGAGGCAGAGGGGGCCGAAGCAGAAGAGGGGGGAAGGAGGCAAGGAGGCCGGGAGCAAGGCAGACGGGGAGAGGGAAGGAGAGGAGGGCCGAGGGAAGGGGGACGGAGGCAGAAACGGGAGGCGCGGGGAGGCCGGAAGGAAGCACGGGAGGCGCGAAGGGGAGGGCACCAGGGAAGCGGGAAGGAGGGGAACCAGACAGGGGCGGGGGAGACCGACAGGGGGAGGGGCAGACCCCAAACAGGGAGACAGGAAGGAGAGAGGAAGCGGGGAGACAGACGAGGGGAAGGGCCAGGACGGAAGAACAGCGGGGGCCACGAGGCGCCGGAAAGGGAGACGCGAGGGAAGGAAGGGGGGGCAGGGAGACGGAGGCGCGAACCACCGGGCCGGGGAGGAGAGGGAGAGGGGCCCAGCACAAGGGGAGAAGCGGGGGGCAAAAGGGGAAGGAGGGCGGGCCAAGGGGAGGGGAGGGCGGGGAGGAAAGAAGAGCCAAAAGCAGCGGGAAGGGACGGAAAGAGCGGGGGGGCAAGCGGGGGGAAGGAAGGAAAAGGCGACAGCAGAGGCAGCGACCGAAGAGGAGGAAGGGGGAAGCACAGAAAGGGGAGGCAAGAAGGGGAGAAGGGGCGAGGGAGCGGAGAAGGGGAAGGGGGGGGGGAGGAGCCACAGCAGCCGGAAGCGGGGAAAAGGAGAGAGGAAGCGGGGGAGGGGGAGCACAGAAAGGGGGGGACAGAGCAGGGGGGAGGAAGGGAGGGAAGAGGAGGAAAGGAGCCCACAGGCAAGGGCGGGAGAGGGGGAGAAGGAAGCAGGAGGAAAGACGGGACGACGGGCAGAAGGGAGCCCACAGGCAAGGAGGGAGCGGAAGGGAGGGAGGAGGGGGAGCAGGGACGAGAGAAAGAAAGCAAGGAGGGACGGGAGGGAGGGGAAAGAAGGGCAAGGCGAGCAGGAAGGGGAAGGGGAGGAGGGAAACGGGAGAGCAGAGGGCGGAAGGGGCCCACAGGGAGGAAGAAAAGGAACAGGAGCGCGGAAGGGGAGCAGAAGGAGAGAAGGAAGCGGAGGGACGAAAACGGGAGCCGACAGGCAAGGGGGAGGGCAGGGGAGGCGGCAACGCAGGGGAGAAGGGGGCAGCAGAAAGAAAGGGGGCAGGGGGAGCGAAGGGAGGAAAACGGGCCCACAGGCAAGGGGAGGGCACGAGAGGCGGCGGGCGCGGAGGAAGGGGGAAAAGAGGAGCAGAAGGGGGGCGGAAGGGGAGGGAAGAGAAGGAAAACGGGAGCCCAAGGCAAGGGGGAGGGCAAGAAAGCCCACCCAGGAGAGAAGAAGGGGAGCACAAGGGCGGAGAGGGAGAAAGGAGGGCAAGGAGAAGGCGAAGGGGCAGGGGGGCAGGGGCAAAACAGGGAGGCAGGCACGGCCCAAAAGGAGGCACGGGAGGAAGGAAGCCACGAAGCGGGCGCGGGGCGGCGGACGAACGGGAGGAAGGGACGGGAGGGGACAGACCGCGGGGAGGCCAAGAAGAAAAGGGAGCGGGGGAGCCAAAGGCGAACGGGGGGGAAAGAGGGAGGGGGGGGGGAGGAGGGCCAACGAGGGGGGGGAAAAGAGAGCGGCAGGAGGGAGGGGGACGGGAAGGGGAACCAAAAAGGGAGGAGGGAGGAGGGCCAACGAAGGGGGGGGGGAAGGAGGGGCAGGGGGAGGGGGGCAAGAAAGCAAGGAGGAGGAGGGAGAGGAGGAAGGGCAGGGAGGAAGGGCGCGGAAGAAGAGGAAGCAGGGGAGGGAGCAGGGAGAAAAGAGCAGGAAGAGACGCCACGAAAGGGGAGGGAAGGAGGGGGCAGACAGGCCAAAGGGGGGGGAGGGGAAACAAGAAGGCCAAAAGAGGCCACAAGGAGGAAGCGGGAGGGGGGCAGAGAAAGGCAGAAGGGCAAAGGAGGGAACAGGGGGGACAACAGAGGGAGGAAAAGGGGGGCAACAAGAGGAAGGAAGGGAGGAGAACAAAAGCAGGGAACGGGGGGGCACGGGCAGGGAAGAAAGGCGGCAGGGAGGAAGAGAGGCGGGAGGGGCGGCAAAAGGGAGCCGGGCCAGGGGAGGGGGGAAGGCCGCAAAACAAGGGGGGGGGCAGAGAAGGAAGACGCAGGAGGGGCAGGGCAGGGAAAAGGGACAGGGAAGGGAGGGGAAGGGAGGGGGAGGAGGAAGAGGCCAAAGGAGGGACGGAGACCGGGGGGGAGGGGCGAAGGGAGGGGAAGGCGGCGGGACGGGACGAGCGGGGGGCGAGGGAGGAGGGGAGGGACAGACGGGGCAACGCCAAGCGCGGAGCGGGGAGAGAGAGGACGGAAAGGAACGGAGAGAAAGAAGGCAGGGAAAGAGGGAGCAGGAGGCGAACAGGAAGAGAGCGCGACGGAAGGCAGGCGGAGAAAGGGGGAGAGAGCAGACAGGGGACGCGGGGGGACAAGGGGGAGGCGGGGGCGCCGGCAGGGGGCACAGAAGGGAGGGGGAGAAACAGCCGGAAGGGACCGAGAAGAAACAGAGGGGGGGGCAGGAAGGACCGAAGGGGGAGAAGGAAAAGGCAGGGGACCAGAAGGAGACGACGCGAGGAAAGAGAGGACAGAGCACGAGGAGGCGGATGCGTGGGGGCGGTGGAGAAGGGGGGCGAGGTACGGGCACCAGGGGAGAGGGATAGATGGTCCCGAAGAAATGAGAGTTATAGAGGAGAGAGGAGGGCTGAAGGAAGGGGCAAGTTTGACGAGGCGGAGGATAGGTGGTTCGGGGGGCGACGTATAACGAGGAGGGGTAGGGCAAACCAAACGCGGCGGCCGAAGATAACCGGGAGGAGGGGAGACGGAGGAGGAGGAGAGAGCACAGTGCAAGGACGGAGGACGCAGACCGCCCGCAGGAGACACCAAGAACACCAGGAGGGGGCGGAGCAGGGCGGATGCAAAAACAGGGCCGGACGGGCGAGCCGGGAAGATGCAAACACGAAGTAGGCAATCAGCAACGGAGGGCAGGATGAGCACTACAGCCGCGACCGCCGTCCGCGAGCAGTGCGAGAGCAGGGGTGCGGGAGACGATGTGATAGAGGGAGGACGCAGTGGGAGAGCGAACAGGGCAGGCAGCCAAATGAGTGCGTACGGGGTGAGAGGACAATCCTTCAAGTGGGGCGCGAGGGAGACCCCGGAGCGGGGACCCAGGCCGGTTAGGCCCAGGGCAGGCGGGGGGTGAGGGGGGGTACACGGAGGGGAAGGAGGAGGTGAGGGCCTCAAGGGAGGAGCGGGAGGATCCTGCAGGTCGAGCCCGCGGGCGCCTCGGAAAGGCGCGCGGGGGCGACCAGACGGGGCAGGCGGGGGGCCCGGACGGGGGGAAGAGCAAAGGCGAGGAGGACGGAGGCAGCGGAGAGGCGGGCCGGGTCAACTAAGGAAGGGCCGGATCGACCAGACAGATAGGCGCAGGCGGGACGAGAGGAGAGGGCGTGCATGCGGGAGAGAGAGGGCAGGCAGGCGGGAGAGGTAGGGGGAAGCGGGTAGAGACGGCGAGAGGGAGGCACAGAGAGGGAAGGATAGGAGAAAACAGGACCGGGGAAGCAATGGCCCGAGGCGGCGAAAGAGGTGGCCGAAAGGCGCGGAGGGACCCGTAGGGGAGGGTAGGGGGGCAACGCGGGAAGCAGAGGAGAAAGCGGGGGGCGGTGAAAAGGGCCGAAGGGGAGAGAGAGGAAAGATGAGAGTAACGGGGGGCGGGGGCCCAGAGGTAGCGGCGAGAGAGAGAGGGAATGAGAGGAGGGGGGCGGAAGGGAGCATGGAGGAGAAAACGGGAGAAGGAGAAGGAGAAGGAGGGGAAGGGGGAGGGAGGAGGAAAGAGGAGGAGGGATAGAGAAATCTGCGGGCAGGGAAAGTACAGAGAAGGAAAAGAGGGGAGGAGGAGGGGGAAAGGAGAAGAAGAGTAAGGGGACACAGAGAGGAGGGGGTGGGAGGAGGGAGGGGAAAGAGAGGGAGGGAGTGGAGATAGAATGAGAAGAAGAGAGAGAAGATGGAAAGGAAAGAGACAGAGAGGTACGGCCGTGACAGCGGAGAGAGACAGAGAGAGCAGGAGGGACGGGGCAGACCGAAGAGGGACACAGGCTGGGAGAGAAATGGGGGACAGAAGGGAAGGAGAGCGAACGGGTAGGCAGGAGAGGGGGGGGGGGGAGAAGGGGAGGAAAGCAACCAAAACGAAAAGGAGACGGGAACGCAAGGGAGGAAGGGGGCCAAGAATAAGGGGTGAGAGAGAGAAAGGGGAGAGGAGAGAGGGGAGACAACCAGAGGGGAAAAAGGGGACGACGGGAGAGGGGAGAGCGCGGAGAGGGACAAAGAGGAGAGATGGTCGGGAGGATAGGCAGGCGGGGAATGGGATGAAGGGGGATAGGAAGGGGGGAGGACGATCGGCAGATGGAGAGGAGAACAAGCAATGCAGAGAAGGAGGGGGGAGGTACAAAGGAGGAAAGAAGGAGGGAACGGAGGTGGGCCAAAATAGGTGAAAAGGGGGGATGGAGAAAAGGGAGGGGCACAAGGAGGCATGGGAAGAGCACAGAAGAGGGGAGGGTAAGGGACACAGAGAGGGAGAGGAGGGCACACCAAAGGACGGGACATCCAACGGAAGGCAATGTGAGGTAGCAAACAGGGAGGACAAAGAAGGGCACAGAAGAGGCAGTCGAGGGAAGTGAGAGCGACAAATGGGCAGGGGAACAACGAACGACGCGGCACAAGGAGAGAAAGGAGGGCAAAACGGGAAAGAACAGAAAGAGCGGCACAAGGGAGGAAGGTGGGGGCGGAAGGAGAGAGCGGCACAGAAGAGGCAAGGGAACAAGGGCCGGACAAAAAGGGAGAAGTAGGGGGACAAGAAGAGTGGTGCGCACATAGGAGCGCATGGCGAAGGCGGACGAACATGAGGGGAGGGGGGGGGGGGCAAAAAACACAAGGATTGGAGTGGGGGGACAAAACAGGGCCACAAGATTATAGTACAAGATGGGACAACAACGAGGGGTCACAAAAAAGACAAACAGGGGGGGCCAAAGGAGATGGGGCACAAGGACAGGCGGGCCCGTCAGAAGTGAGAGGCCGCCCAAAAGGACAGTACAGGGAGGGATCAAACAAGAGGGACAACGGAGGGGACGACACGGGAGGCGAGGTAAGAGGGACAACGTGAGGCGGACAAAGACGGGCCGGGGCACAAGGACCAGAGGAGCGGGTGACCAAAAAAAAGGGAGCACAAGGAGAACACTAAACAGAGGGGCGACTGAGGCGGGGGGACAAAAAGCAGAGGAGGGGGACGAAAGGAGGAAGGGGCACAAAAAGGGGGCACGAAAGAGCGGCAGGCGGGGTAGGGACACCGGGAACGGCAAGCGCAGGCGGAGGGGGGAATGGCGGAGCGGCGGGGGGAAGCAAAAACGACACCGGGGGCAAACCTGGGGGCACCAGGCAGGGTGCACACGGGGGCGCACGAAGAATGTGGCGAGGAGAAGGGGGCGGAAGGCCAAGCAGACAGGGGGCGCGATGGCACGGGGGCCGCAAAGTATGCGCGCGGGGGCACGGAGGCGTGACGCGAGGGGGGGGCCGGCCGACCGAGGGCCGGAAGCAGGAAAATCCGATCAGGAGGGAGACGAGCCAAGGGGAGAGGAATGGACGACGGCAAGAAGAGGGGGGCACGCAGAGGAAAAAGACACAGGGCAAGGGAGGGAGGGGAGCCGGGGGGCAAACAACAGCGCAGGGAAAAGGTGAGGGGGCAGGGGGGACGGAGCCAAAGGGGAGCACCAGAGAGGCAGGGCGGAAAAGGCCAGGAGAGAGTAGAGCGACCGGATGGGGGCAAATGAGAGCCGCGGAAGGAGGGGAGGAGGGAGAGGAGAAAAAAAAGGAAGGGCAGGGATGGAGAAAAGAAGGGGCGGGGAAAGGACGGAGGGAGGGGCAACAAAACCAAAGGAAGGACGGGGGGGGAAAGAGGGGGGCAAAGCGGGAAAAGACGGGAACAAAGGGACCACCACGGAGGGAGACGGGACGGAACAGGGGCCAAAGACGGGAGGCGCCCCGAGGCGCCCGAGGTGCCAAGGGGAGAAAAAAGTACAGGAAGAAGGGAAAAAAGGCACGAAGAAAGAGAGGGGGCCGCGACGGGGGGCGGACAAACGAGTGAGGAAGGGGGGGAAAAGGGGCAACAGACCGGGGAACCAGGCGAAAAGGGGAAGAGGGGGAAGACCAAAAGAAGCGGAGGGTGGAGAAAGGGGGAGGCCAAACGGGAGGGCGGGGGGGCACAGAAAGGGGGGAAAAAAGACGCGAGGGCAACAAAAAGGGGGACAAAACAGAGAAGCGGGCAAAAGGTGAGGCCGGGCCAACACAGTGCGACACAGGGGGGCAAAAAAAAAAAAAAAAAAAATAAAAAAAAAAGCGCCGGGGCAACCGCTCGAGCCGCGGATCGGAGGCCAAGCCGGACGGGAGCGCGCCGAGGCGCGGGGGGCAAACATGGGGGACG